ACTGGATGAACAATAGAGAGAAATTGATCGCGGACAGTGAGCACTGGAACGCTATTGTTAACAATTCTTATCTAGTTGGCTTGGGTATTGATTGGTCCAACATTCGGAATGTTATGGATATGAAAGCCATCAATGGAGGGTAAGTCTTCTGGCTTGATTCATCTGATGAAAGAGGAAGAAACATTTCCTATCCAATAATATGCTTTTGGTTTTCCACTTGTTCTGATTGTAATATTACACTGCATTCTAGTGCCACAACAAGAATGCTAACAACTGAGTAAAAATACACAGATTCGCAGCTGCGCTTGCGCAGCAGAAGGTGTGGGTGATGAATGTGATCCCTGTACATGCACCAAATACCCTTCCTATAGTCTTTGAACGAGGACTTGTTGGCGCGTACCACGATTGGTGCGAGGCTTTTGGTACTTATCCAAGATCATATGACCTTCTACATGCAGATCATCTCTTCTCAAGGCTTAAGAACAGGTTAGCATGACATTTTACCCTTTATTTGCTCACTTGGTTCAGTTTTCCACTTATTTATATGGATCCTTCCTCTTTTCACCAATCCTAGTGCACAAGTAGTTGTTCCTTTAGCTGTATCATTGGGACATCAATGTGGTTCGCAGTAGGTCATTTCAGTTAAACTGTGAAATGATTGTTAATGGCCTCGGCATACATGGTTATATTTGGCATAAAGGCTTATAATTTTCGCCGGACACTATTTTGTTTACTCTATTGAACGTTTGTTGGCAATACTAAAGACGACTTACTTCTTGATGTTTGGATTAAATCCACGAGGCTTATGGACTATTTCATTCCTAGTCATCATAACTAACGCGATAGGAGATTCACACTCAAGCAGATGCAAGGGGGCTGCATCGCATGGCGCCCTCCCCATTTTCAAAGCCATCCATCCTCATTATCATAATATTTTTTTCTCGAGATGGGTTCAGTAGTGCAACGTACTATATGGTAATTATCCCTGATGCAGAAAAAAAGTGGTAATTGCTGATTATGTCTAATTTCAATGGATCTCCTTTTGCTCTGCCCCAGGAGAAAACTTTTGGTCTGCCGTCACTAAATTTCAAGGTGTATTACTGAACTAGTTTTCCATGTTCACCTGAATGAAGTTCTACTATTTAGAGAGATCCATTTGCTTTTAGGGAAAGGGATACGTTGTCAATTGTAGATGAGTAAAGGTGACTAGCTAGGATAAGTATTATTCAAAATTGTTGTTGTTCCCTTGACTCCTTTATTTATTCTCTCATCGAGTATCTGTAGGAGAGAAGAGGAATCACACCCAAAATCTTTTTCGGAATCCCGCCATACACTAATTGTACTGGATATTTCCTCGAATGCCATAGGATTTTGCAGAGTCTAACCATAGAATATGATTCTGCTTGTCATTTTTCTTGATGTTCTACGCACTTGCTATTTTGGAACACTCAAGAAATTAAATCAGTTATACTATTCAGTTACATAATTTCTATAGGTTTAACTTTGTGTTAGCTTGCTAAAGTATGATAATGGTAAATAAACATTTCAAGCTTTTAGAATTACTTCTGCATCTGAAGTTACAACCTTCTCTGAAAGCAGAAGTGGGAATAAAGCTCGAAACTTTCCATTTCCAGACTAAATTTTTCTGCAGAGCTGACGTGGTTTGATCTCATGATCTTTCATTGCAGGTGCAAGCATCCCATAGTGATTGTGGTTGAGATGGACCGCATATTGCGGCCCGGTGGTTGGGCAATTATACGTGACAAGGTCGAAATACTTGATCCGCTAGAGAGTATATTGAGAAGCTTGCATTGGGAGATACGAATGACATTCGCGAAAGATAAGGAAGGCATCCTTTGTGCACAAAAAACCATGTGGAGACCTTGATTAATGGAGCTAGTCTTTCGCTTTCCATTTTCCAGATCTTCCCTGCAGAAGTATCGAGGCAATTCATTTGATTATTTGGATAAGCAAAGAAGGATACCACATATGGTTCCAGTCTTACAATCATTCTTTGCAAGATCTGCTGTTTATCTGTTCGAGATTGTCTATACCTCGTTGAGTAACACAATGTCATTATTGCTAACATGGTAATTTCTTGTACCAATTTCTTGGCCTCACTCTTTACATACTGGAAAAGTAACAGTGTCTTGTAGCAACTGGTGCGCGAGTAATCTATTTTTGCTCTTACCATTGATTGAATCGAACATTTGTGCATAAATTTTAAGTATGTTTTTGTTCCAACCTCATGTCTGTTGTTAGAGTATTATATGAACCTTATACTATGATGTGGTTTCTTTACTTATTTTGTTGCATTGTTAACGAATAAATGATTAGTTGATCACCTGAGAATTTGCATGAAATGAATCCTCTACCAAGAATGTCGGTATAGGTATTAGCAGTCATTGACAAAGGTTTAAAGAAAATTTGGTCATTTTAAGGAGTCAGAGGTTACTGGCCAAGTGTTCGTTATTCCCCAAATATAACTCTGAGCATCTTTAATCCTTTAATTTTGCTAAAATAGAGCATCTTTGGTCTTACTAACAGACCCATGTTGAAAACTAACGGTGCTCTCACGTGACTGTAAAACACTGAACCCACGGTGCAAGACTAACTCCATTCCTGATTCCCCCAAATCTATTCTTGATTTTCCCCAAATAAACCCTTTACCAAAAGCCCTAAGCCCATCTGGAGAAAGCTTTATTGACGGGAACAAGAATATAACTCTGGTTTTTCTTTTGCTGTATCAACTAATGGTTTGCTTGATTATGGATTCTAACAAGTTATGCACCTGAATTAACTGCTATTTATATGAACCAATCATACGCTTGAATGGTTTATTTGACTATTGATATAAAGGTCAAATTTGTTTAACCATATCCTAAGAAACGAATAAGGCAGGAAGAAAATGAAGAAGGCATAACCTAGAGGGGAATCACCAGTTAGTTTTTAACATGAGTCTATTAGTGAAACCAAAGATGCTCTACTTTAGCAAAGTTAAGAGATTAAAAATGCTCTAAGTTATATTTGGAGGACAAAAATAGACATGTTTTTATAGATAAGGGATAATTTTAGTCAAAAACTCAACAAATTTCCAATTTGCAAAAAAAATATTGATAATTTTGAAATAACTATTTCCAAGTAAAGTTATTAAATTAAAAATTTATATTCGTTTTGTTTAAAATGAAATTTAATATCTTTTCAAGAATTAGTTGGGGAAAGGAATCTCAAATTTATTATGTCAAAAAAATATTTAATTGAGTTCAATTCTCCTGAGGGCATCTCCAACTTTTACCCCCATTTTGGGGACAACTTACTCCAACCATTCCCCCATTTTTTCTCCTAAAAGAGAATATTCTTTTTATATTCTTCTCTCTCTTCTATATTATATTATTATCTTTCATTTCAATTTTATTTTTTAATTTTCATTAAACAAATTCCATCTTTTATTTTCATTAATTTGTAATTTCCATTAAAACAATTCCATAAAATTTTAAATAATATAATTTGTAAGCAATTATTATAGATTAACTATTAATTTAAATAAAAGTGAAATCATTGCGATACAAGATTAATTAAATACATATTACATAACGATAAAATTCATTCGAAATACTACATAAATATTCAACTTCAACCTCTAGTATTCTCCCATAAATGATCTATTAATGCATTACGAAGTGCAAAATGAGCATCTTTGTCCTTAATTCTTCTATGTCGAGCTAAAAATTCTTGAAATCGTTGATTTTCATCTACTGTCATTTCTACTGTTGGAGGTGGACCTTCCAAATCATCTCGAATTGGTGCATTAAGATCACGCTCATTCTGGACTATCATGTTGTACAGTATAATACATATAGTCATTATATCATGTAGCAACATCAAATATTTTATATTTGCACCTTTCATTTTTTGTGATGGTTATATCTTTTTCATACAATTATAACTCATAATAAAATTAACTACCAATTTTACATTAAAAAAATAGATGCACGATAGTTAATTTTTTAAAATTATATGTCAAAGTTAAAATAAAAAATTAATTAGGTAAATATATTATATAAACATAATTAAGTATATATAAAAAGATAAATTAAAAGATTAAATAATAAAAATAATAATATTTTAATGAAGAATAGTAAATGAGGAGATGAATAGTGTATCCTCAAATTTGGGGAGACACTATTCACTCCCCATTTTGGGGACAAAAAATGGGGGAGGTTTGGAGTGAAATTTCCCCATTTTTGAGGCAAGGTTGGAGTTGCTTTAAGAAAAGAGTAAAAATAGCGGATGAACCTGACACGTGAATAGGAAGAAAGAAAAATGTGGGAGGAATGAGATTCTTTCGTCCTTAACTAAACATCTCAAATTCATGATGCAAATACTTACTCCGTTTCAATCTAGATAAGCTAATTTGACTCGGCACGGAATTTAAGAAAAAAATGAAGAATTTTGAAACTTGTGGTCTTAAAAGCTTAAGAGTTAAAAATTTTGTGGGGCGACATTTATGTGGTTAGAAAAACTTCTCATCAAGGATAAAATGAAGAGTTTAAAGTTGAATTATTTTCAATTATAAAAATATATTATTTTTTTTAACAGACTAATAAGAAAAATATATTATCTAAATTGAAACATAGGGTATATGATTATGATAATAAAACAAAAGAGAGAGAACTAGGATTACTATGTTTCAATAGGTTACTCTTGAAAATAGATAGCTAAATTACTAACCCGGTAATTTTTTTTTTTTTTTTTTTTTTTTTTT